GTTTGGCTCTTCCAGCATCCCGGAAAGTATCCTCGATTTCGAGTCGCTCCTTGTCATCATTTCCTAGAAAGGCATCGAGAAGCACATTCTGGCGATTGTAATACTTCTTGACTCTACTGTATTTTGGCTTGGATGCTGGCCGTGCTGTGTGCTGCGGGGAAGTGTTTGAAGTGTTTGGTTGTTGGTCCACAACAGAGGTATGTGATGAGCTCGAATTTTGGGGAATGAATAACGATGCATCCGCAGTAACATCAGGCGATTTAAGACCAATATCATCCTCATTATCCTCTTCAAGGTCCGAAATTGCTCGAAAGTCTCCACGCTGAGGTGTTGGTGGCGGAGAAGACTCGTAATCCGAGCTCTCTGCACACTCTAAGCTCACGAGACTGAGATTAGCAGTGGGAGCCAAGTCAATCTTTTCCATGGAAAGATTGTTGGTTTTAAGTTCCTGGAATATTTGAGGTGAGTATGATGAGGAAAATCGCACCGAGCAAGCACGATCGCAGCGAGCTGCAGCGTGTTCAATGTCTCGATGTCCGTCGAGGCAAGCACACCTCGACTCCATATCAACGAGTGATATTGGTAGGGGTCAGAATTGCTTGGACCGAAGAAATTTCCATAAATGATAACATGAAGCATAACCAAGAGAAGACGCAGGATTGCCACTGGCCGACGCGAAAGATCGGATGGGGGTTCAATAACCGCATCTCAGAAGGAAATGAATGAGAGATTCTTATACTCCAAAATATCCATCCATGGATCATCTGGCAGATACCCAGTTCAACAAAGTTCGATGCTCATATTATGATTAAGACCGTTTCGTGCTACTTTGAAACCGCAACTCGCTGCCAGTAATATCGCGTTGCCAAGAATCATGTTGCTGGAGATCCTTTCGACTTTTCACTTCTCAAGAAAATTGCTTGGCACGGCATTGGGCCCTCGCCTCAATTTAAGAGATTCGAGCTTTGCCAAGAGTCGCGCACACAAATATGCTCTGAAACAATGCACGTCGAGAAGGGAATCGTCAATAGCATTGATGCCAAGACAAATCGCAAGGACATTTCCTTGACCTGAACCGATAGTTCCATCGCAACAAGGAAGCATAATAAGCATAAGCCATGGCAGTTTAAGGCCGGGAGTTACAGCACGATTGATGCCCATCTGCCGAATAGAAACATATGGGGAGGCGTACGTTTGTTGCTTGTGAAGAAGCACCCTCTGACTCTAAATGTTCTAGATCTGTACTCACGAACACGCCAAGCTCGATTTGCCCCTGCAGCAAATCGCTGAACGACCGTTCACTGAATGTCGCTCATCTTGGCATTCCATCCTCCATTCAATGCGGAGCAGTACATCGTGACAAATCAACAAAGAAAGCGGTTTGTGATCGATTACCGAAGACAAGTTGGGGACATCTTCTTTTCCTCGGCTGATCGAGAGTAAGTAAATACAACACCAAGGACTCAGCATCTTTATGTTCCAGATACCACCACATACTAATAGCCTCGAAAATAGCACTAACGACAAGGACGAAGGAACCAATTGAGACACCCAAGAATAAACTTATGTCCTCCGCATCAGGAACATCTCTAGAAGGACCATCCTCGGACGAAATGTTTGGCTAGATATCAAGTTGCGGAGCCCCAATATTCTCGGTAGTCAAAATACAGTTGCATCTAATGGGTGTCGCACGGACTGTGCACAAACGCCAGGACCGGGCGTGCATCAGAAATCTTCCGCTGCGTGACGCGTCCTGGCATGGGCTGCTGGGGCTGTGTCTCGTGAACGGCATGCTTCCATAATGCTTATAATACTTAAGCTGCCAAGTCCCCGTCGACTCTTGGGTTTCCCTTCGATTGTTAATCTTCCGAGATGCTTGACAAGCCAAGCTTTCTTGACTACAACCAAGCTTCACGGGTTCTCCGCGTGTTGGGAGACTTAGTGAAGAGACTCATGAAAATGTTCAGAAATCATTCTCAAAGGTCTGACATACCTGCCATGAGAGCAGAGTAGAGCTGGAGGTAGGAATCTGAGAGTAGACTGTTTATCAGGTAAGTGATTTGTAGCTGACAGAATATTCGCATTTGCCTCTGTTTCTGATATATCCTGCATCAAGTGATATATTCGACCATCATAATTTCCAAGACAATCTCAGAGTTGTTCTAATTTCAGTCAATTTCATTCATGCTGAAATTGGGTAATGACAAATGAGAAGTCGAGCCAATGTTCAAAGTACTTGCCGCGTACCATTATCCAATGCCAATCTTCCATTGGCACGATGATCTTGTTTTTGGCCAGGAAGAATATCACGTTCTTCAAACGCATCACGGCTGAAAACTGCTTATCCATGCTTCAGAGAAGTGGAACCTCTTCTGTCTAGAAGAATCTGATGATGGCTCAGAAATGGTTATATGAGCCGATGGTTTTCCTCCACATCTGTGGAAATCTGTCTGTTTGTTTCATCAAGGTACTCTTTTCTGTTTTTCTTGGTCGACAGTGTGCGGGCACACTTTTAATTCATAATGGCCGAAGAAATGACTTCAACGAAGCCACAATGTGGAGGTGGCGGCGCAAAACAGGATGATTACGATTTGCCACTTCATGTGGCTGCTTTGTGTAGGTTCTCAGAAGGGGAAGGTCTTGAAAGATAGACCACGAGCTGACCATGAGACAGTCCTGGTCCTGTTAAAGAGCATTGGAGGTATGCTTCTTATTAAAAGATGCTCTACACTATCAGTTCTAACATCCAATTCAGGAGCTGGATTCCCGGTAGTGGCCAAGCGAGTTAGCTGGCTGAAGATCCCCCCTAAGATATTCTTCTTTTGCAAGCACTTCGGCACTGGTGTCTTGATCGCTACAGCTTTTGTTCATGTAAGACATGACCCCCACACACCATAGAAACTTGCTGACAGTCCTAGCTCATCCCGACAGCCTTCCAATCTCTCAATGATCCATGCCTGCCTGATCTTCTGACCGTTCAATACCCCGCTATGCCTGGTGTCATTATGATGGCTTCTCTATTCTCCCTTTCGTCATCGAGATGGTTCTCAAGTCTAAGACTGGTGGTCACTCACATGGCGATCCAACTGGAGAAGGTCTCTCTGGACAAGGTACTCCACCAGGAATATCTGTTCTTCCAAGGGATAGGGGTCGACCAACTATGAGGGATGACATTTACCCGGACGAGAAAGACGCCGCATTTGCAAGGTCAGCATTTCCCCAAACTTATCATGGGAGTGGTTTCTGACTCTAATAGGGATGATGAAGTTGACTCACGCCCCGTAACACCAAGCGACATCGATCTTTACGGTCTTCCGTCTGAGATGCCGCCATGGTTTCAAGTGTTCTTTGCACGCTACATTTGACAGCGCGAAGAGATGAAGAGTATGATCATGTCATACGCCCCTCAGTCCGAGTCCGGGCAATTGTATGTCGATCCTGATCAAAACACAGTCCCTGCAGAGTCATACATCGATGAAGCGACATTCAAAAAGATGTCCCTCAACATCACGCTTTTAGAAGGTGGTATCCTTTTCCACTCCGTCTTCGTCGGTATGACTATATCCATCACTACAGATGGTTTCATCATTCTCCTCATTGCCATTCTGTTCCATCAATTCTTCGAAGGTCTTGGCCTCGGCTCTCGCATTGCAGCCGTGCCATACCCGAAAGGAGCTGCAAGACCTTGGATTCTTGTCGTAGCATTTGGTACCACTGCGCCTATTGGACAGGCGATTGGATTGATTGCAAGAAATAGCTACGATCCTCAAAGTGCATTTGCACTGATCATTGTGGGAGTGTTCAATGCCATGTGAGTCTATGACATGATCTGCAAAAAGGACCTGGCTGACCATGACGCGAAAGTTCATCCGGGCTTCTGATTTATGCAGCCACAGTGGATCTACTAGCTGAGGATTTTTTTGTCTGATGAGGCTCAGCATTTGATGACCAAGAAGATGAAGATTTGGGCATTCACTTTTGTGATGATGGGAGGTGAGTTTTCTGGAGAATTTCGTTGACAATGTCCCTGACGTATTCATAGCTGCGGGTATATCAATCGTGGGAGCATTTGCATGATCCGTCAAAGGAAGGTCGATCGCGGTAGTGGGTCAAATTGAGACGGCGTCGTGGAAACATCGATCGGGTCGGTCGTCTCGCTTAGTTCAATAGGGGAGGGATTTGCACAGCCGTCAGATCTGCGCGCAGCGCAGATTATGACATTATAAGATGGCAAAGGCTTGATAGTTCAGTGGCAGAATTCATGCTTTGGGATGTTATCTCGACTGTATGAGGTCCTGGGTTTATCCCCAGTCAAGCGTAGTTCAAGTACCTAGGTGTGGGAACGATTTGACTATGAATGGCCCCAGGAAACATTGAAAGGAATATTGTAGGACTTATTTGAATGACAGGAAGTGACCGTCGGTGTGGAATGCTTCAATCAAGATGCGATGGAGCGCTGATTGAACGATAGCACCAGCATACGTTCAGCGGTAGGACGTTCCGGCGTGTTCGATATCCCAGCCTAGATTGAACAATCAAGGAGGCAAAACTAAGGTGAAATTATACATGCTATAAGACCTTCAGAAACTCGCCAACAAAATTGTCTTTGCTTAAAAAATGGGCCGTGAAAGTCCAAGCAGGGCTGGGAGATTGAAGAAGCTAGGACGTACGCTGGACGGTGACGCTGTTTGGTTTGCAAGCGTTCAATGTCCTTTTGGCCTTACAACGAAATCGTCGCAGGTTGGTGATAGTAGCTGGGAAAAATAAGATCTCAATCTGGTTGTTTCATTTCTCCACGGCCGACCAGTTGCACGCGCCCGAACGCTCGCTTAAAAGGGAGTTGGAGCCTGAGGCATAGAATAGCACGTTTCAGGCAACCAACGCTAGTTCTCGCTTAGTAATACCTCAGTTCTGCGCTCGAAAACCGAGATCTCGACTGTCGTGCAGCTTTTGAGGACAAAAAGAATTGCTCCTGCCATTGTTGGAAGGCAGAAAATGGAGGGCTTGACTGGGGATTGAACCCAGGACCTCATACAGTCGAGATAACATCCCAAAGCATGAATTCTGCCACTGAACTATCAAGCCTTTGCCATCTTATTGGCTGAAATTTTTCTTATTTAAGCTTATACTAGCATTTCGCTACTCATGGCGCTAAAAGTGATCCTGACAAATGGGATTCATGCAGACATCGGGCCGCTTCGACGCCGGGTAATCTCGATACACGATCTCAAACACAGAACTTGATCCAATCTGTTTCCATCGCCAACTTATATCAGCTCACAATTATTCCATGTTACTTGCACAACTCAAAGTGAAATAGGCTAATCACAAGTCAAGTATGTTGCAAGAATGTTCGCGATGATGATCGGAACGGATTGACCATCACCAAATGAAAGTCCCTCGACGACGGGGACAATTACAGCCAGGAAGTGGTTATATTTACCCCTTTCGCATTTTCATCTGGGACTATTCAGCAAGAGCTTTTCCCTTGCTGACAATTTTGTATTGTTTTCGAATTTCGCATTGTTGTACGTACACCCGACACGTGGAAGATCCTTCCAAATTGGAAGATGTTTGCCTTTGACCAAGTTCTCCCCGTTCGGTTACTGAATGATGTGTCTGCAGCTTTTTGATTTGTTATCATGGAGTCAGGAGAAACAAAAGTCCGAGGAATTATGCTCGTGAAAGCATCATCTGATTCTTCCAAAGTCCTCGAGTTTGATGCTAACGCAACTTCCGGATTAGCTTGCCAAATGACGTTTCCTATGCCAAAGGGGATGTTTGAGTCATTGGCTTCAAGTGCGTGAATGACCATTCCAATCTCATGCGTTATGTCAGCTATGTCTTGGGCCGGATGGACGCAAGTACTGTTTTAAAACTTTCCGCTTGACTTGGACTTTGCACAGGATAGCCATCTACGTCTACCTTGTGGGTAGGACTTTAAACAGTGAATTCGATCGCTTCACAGGAACAAGGGCATCTAGCAATGTTGGCAGATTGAAAATACTGCTTGTGCAACACGCAAGTTATTCGTGTCCAAATCGCAGCTTCCCAAGCTGACTACTCGACGTCTTGATCTCACAAAGCAGGACACTGCTTTGCTGGCGACTACCAAACTTCATCAATCAAGAAGGACGGTGCCAAGGCTTGGGCTTTCCTGCAGAGTTTCAAAGACGCCTTCTGGCGAGGCGAGATCGCAGTGCACTCCCTCGCCCTACTCAACTGCGTTAATAGCGTCACCTATTTTGGTAATTCTTTCTCTTTCGCTTCTTAGCTGTATCTGAAAGTGTCTCTTGCAAAATACATTCGCTACGCAGACTCAATTCATTAACGTCGGGTCGCCTTAAAGCTTGCGGTGCTGTGGTTCGATGTCGCTAAATCCTCTACAGATGATGTAGAAGAGGTTTATTTTGCAGGAAACCATGGAGACGTTGGGGGTGGTTGGAGCTATGCACCGGAACTGACGGGGCCAGTTCCAGCATATAGCAGTAAGAGGGGTGCATTGAAAGTTTTGCTGTCTGATGTTTCCCTGGGTTGGATGATCATGCTTTGGATGAAACCGTGAAATTCTGAGTTTGAAAAATTGGGCCTGGGGCTAATTACTCACAGGACGAGGAGAAAAACATCCTGATGTGGAGGCAAGATCCGGTGGAGCTGGTCTACAAATAATACTCGCAGCTGACTACCGTTTTTGGGGACGCGACTTTGGTCAAGCAACTTTTTCGAGAAAATCCCAAGGCTGACAATGCAAAGATTACTGATGCTGCTGCTGACCTAGAGCTATGAGAACAATCTTTCATGATCCTCTCAAAATTAGTCGTGGCACGACTTGGGTGACGGCTTGGCTGTGGTGGATCGTAGGTAAAAATCACCTTGGCTTCCCTTTGACGGACATGGATGCTAATTCTTCGAGAGAAATCCTTCCCATTGTCTCTTACTTCGACCTCGACAAGCACGACAAATGGGTGGCTCGAGCCTGGAAACCAAAGATGGGGAGAATGAGAAAGATCCCCGCAACGTGTGCGATAACCAACCTCCCAAACCACTCAAACACCAGATGGAAAGCCCCGAAACGTACTTTCACGGTAATGTCGTTGAAGGTCGCCGGTGTAATACTTGAGGATGAGATGTCTAGGTCAGGCAACGTCTCAGCGACGTGGAGTCCCTTCGGTCTGTTCATTGGCGGAACGGGCACATCTAGCTATCGCAGGATTGAGGTTGTCATGTTTTGATTCGTGTGTGTTTGGCTGCGATACTTTAACCGTCGGTAAAAAGTTTCGTCAAGAGGACTTATAATCTGTTTACTTTTATATTCATACTCTCACTGATAATCTTTCAATTATATATTCACCCCTTCCTCGAAGCCACAGCCTCGTCTGCAAGAGCAATTATCAAACCCACCCTCTCTACCTGATCTTTCGCAATCCCTTCAGTACTCATCCCGTCATTCCTGCTCGTAACTATTTCTCCATACCGCACCCTCGTATTCTTCAACCTCGTAACCATCTCCCCAGCTGTCGCATTCCCATCAAACCCTTTCATAAACGGGGCATCAAACACCTTCGCCACCTCCAAAGGACTCATCGAGAAATCTCTCTCCAACTCCCACCAACCCCAATACAACGAATACAATGCCACAGTCCCAACAATACTCAAGACCGCAGCGCAAATCATATACGGATACCTCGTAAAATAAATCGCTTAATCTTGAAACCCTTCGTAGAACACTTTCTGGATGTTATCGGTATCATTTGGATGTTCCCATGCAATTTAAAGGGAGGCACGAGAAGCAGTCTCTTGGATGTTGTAGATCATGTCGAACATGGGGTCTTGCCAGCTGTATTTGTCGCCGGGAGAGGTGATGCCGTCGTTGGTGGTTAGGTATTCGTTTGAGGTGGTGCCAGAAAATTTCCAGAAACTGGTGTTTGGGGGACGGAGAATATGTAATTAGTCGGCGTTTTAAGCGTAGGTGTAGTCTGCTGCGTATTGGAAGCCACCGATTATGGTATTAATGGGATGGTCGTTGAATGGTCTTGTCAGATTTCTGGGTTTAAGTGTTAGCTTTGAATTTACCATTAGAAGTTGATGGGGAGAAAAGCAGGGTAGCTGATTAAAGACTCACATTGGCACAAAATCGGAGCAATCCCCTCCAAGACTTAGCTGATCGGAAGCAAGGATGACTCGATCCGATCTAACTACCACGGGATAGGACATAATACCACTTTGAAGCTTGCATATATGAGTTCTGATATTTGGGTAGAAGCGGAAAGTGGCGTTGAGCCTTATGAGGCCATACTGCTGATCCAGCGGGGCAGTACTATCTTGACCAGCAGGAAGCACAATACTGGTCTCTGTGTTCAAAGCGTTATATGTTCCAACTTGTAAGGTGCCGCTGATCGTTGGAATGAAAGGAATGGATGTGTTCGTCTGTTAGTAGTCTTACACGACTTCTTTTCTTCTCTTTCTTCCAACGCCGATTAGTAAGCCTGGCTGCTTCAACTCAGGCGCTAATCACCCTCGGCTCAGGCAGCTCGCCTGAGCTACTTGAGTGGTCCCTGAGTAGAACAGTCCAACTATCTACTCACGTCTTTGATATCTTAAGGAAAGCGTATCGTCATCTTGTTTAAAGTTGCGTGTTAATGGCCTAAAAATAAAGGGAGCCAGGAAAGGCAACCCTAAGGATAGGTAATTGTTGGTGGCCTGAAAACGGCCTATATTAATCGTTTGTAGTACGAATACTAATTGTGATCGATCAATTATATTTACGACGTGTAATAAAACTTTACATTTAAACTTATTTTGATGTAACCAGTAATACTTAATCTATATTAAAATAGTAAGTAGTGAGTCGTTCTAGATTACTTTATTTAAGAAGAAAGAGAAAAAAGCAAAAGATAGAATTGGAAAAGAGAGTAAGCCTAGAGGGGAAGACTTATTTCCTACCAAGGAAGAGAATAACCCCTAAGGTACACAAGAATCCAAATATCTCCAGAAGGCACTCATCTCCTATTTCAACCCGCGATTAATCAGAAAAATGTAGAAGAACGGTAGCGAAAGCTTACGCTCTAAGAAACTACTATTAGGCCCTAATCGCCATAGCTATAACATATGTGAACCATATCCCAGTAAACCCAGAAACAATTCATAATACTACAACAATTGGAACATTAGTAGGCAATGTAATAAGCGCAATACCATAAAGGCCAAAACTTATCATTAGTCCAAATACTCTCTGTACCACAGCCACGCTTGCGTTCCCTCCCTGTAGCACCTGCTTAGTAGAGAAATCTTCCTTGTCAAGGGTCGAGAGGTAGTAAGGAGAAGGAGGGCTGTGTTCTTGTGTCCGTCGTTTGCGCTTCGCGGTTCCTCCGTTACTAACACCATGCTATTAGCATCTCATCGACTCTAGTTATCATGCGAACAAACAACCTGGTTACTCACCTGATTGACACAAGCAGCAAAACGAGCGTGCTCTTATTCCCTTCTAGCCTCTATATTAACCTCATAATTTTACCCTTCTTCCATGATCCGCGAACAGCTTTATTCTTACTCAATAAGACCTTAATTAACAAGGCTTTCAGCTCTTCGCAAGTATCTGTTACACGCTGAACGCAACTTTTAAGCAGGTTTTACGTATTATCAAGAAATTATTGAGCACTGGTTTCAACTGTGCCTAGTACGTCGCGCAGTGTCTTGAGTTTGCTCGCTAGAGTCTAAAAGCGAATATTAACCCCGCGAAGAGAGCGGGCCTTATCAATGAGGCGCTCAATGAGAGATTCAAGGGCAACAGAAAGAGTGATATATTCAGGAACCATTTTGGGCCTTGCGTATACAAGGCTTCCTGGACGTGCTTCAATGAGTCCGCAAGGTCGATTCAGCTTACCAAGTCAATTGGCGGGGGATCCAGCTTAATAGAGGTCAAGATACAGAGAGCGGTTCATAGTAACTTGGGTGGCGGCTGTTCCTGAGTCATGACTAATCGTAGAGCACCAAAAAAATTCCTTTGATGTCGTTGGAACTCACTTATTGGCTGCTATTCGTATAGTATGCGGTGGATATTACGCCAAATTTGATGACTATATAGA